ATATTATATCTTGTTTTCGAAAAAAATCACTTACGATATTTTACGTTGACCAACATGTAATTGTAATTATTTTAAGGTACCGCAGTCTAAATGAATCATGCAATAACTTTTAATAGCCCTTATTCTAAGATCCATCAAAGTAACGCAATTTTTAATAAAACGTAAAACCTTCCTAGCAACAAAAAATAAAAATACAATATAACTCACTATCAACCTCATTCTGAGTATTTCCAGCTTCCAAAAAGCAATGACGAATAGATACTTTTAAAGAGGATGCAGCATAAAAATATATGGCTATGTGATTGTGGTTTTTTCCAACACAATTATCCGACCAAAATCTAAATTCATTTGTACCTAGGTCCTTATGTTTTGAAATAAATTTCATCTAACGCGTAGAAACCTCATTAGCGCCCATTTGGCCCTGCCCTTCATGCCACATGAAGCAAGTAACTTCTTTATCCATTCATTCGGAAAATGAAGAAATCGGGGTGTTAGCTTGGAGTGCTGATAGTAGGTTAGTAGTGAATGAAATATCTTACTACGGTTGTTGTGCAGCATTTTCATACCAAGCATAAAAGTAGTTATCACAATCGTAGTCTAAATGGTTTTTAGTACACTTTGGGGATGGAATGTGTGTGTTATTTTCCCATGACTGGTTCTCTATTGATTCTAAAAATAATTCAATGTTAATTTATGATTGTGTATCTATAAATAATATTTTTATTATTTTTTACTTATAAATATTTACCAGAAAGCCGGGAAGGAATAACGTTATTGAAATCTTCATCCACTGTATCTGACAAAAAATCTATAATTTTTGTACTCTTTTCTATTCTATCTAATTTCTAATGAAATTAGATAAATGTAAAGATTTTTTGACACCTATAATGTCGTAACTGTAAAACATCGTATCGTATACATACGACATAATTTTTATTTATTTTCCGATGTAAAATATCTTATTTAACACACACGATATTATTTTAATAGCGCAAAATAACGTAAAATATAGTGAATATAACTTACAATAACTTAATTTAACTTAACTTACAATAATACATACCTTCATTTCATACGATTGTATACTTGGACAAAAGTAAACATAAGACATTTAACATTTTAATTTTGAAGGCCTTCTATTAGAAATATTGAAATTTTAATTATTTCAGACTTTAGATGTTTTAGAAGTATAAAAATGAAAAAAAGTGAAAAACCGAAATTTGTTGGTTACGATACGTAGGAGGTGTCGATTTTATATCTTTTTTTGGGTTAAAAAAATAAAAAATTATTAAAAAAACATAGGTTAAATTTGGATTGAATTCTTGGAAGGAAATTGTTAACTTTCTAGCCAAAGGAATTTATATTGCATGGGCTATTTAATTACGATTTTTCCGGTAGTTTATTCTTCTTCTTCTTTAAGTTCCATCTTCTATCGAAGGTTGGAAATCATCATGGCTATGCGGACTCTGTTGACTGCCGCTCTAAAAAGTTCTGCACTACTGCATTCAAACCATTCCCTTAAGTTCTTAAGCCAGGATATTCTTCGTCTTCCCACATTTCGCTTTCCTCGGATTTTGCCCTGCATAATAAGTTGTAATAATGCGTATTTTTGCCCTCTCATCACATGTCCCAAGTACTCAAGTTTTCGTCTTTTAATAGTTAATATTATTATTAAACATTATTACCTAATAGAATTTTGTTACTGCTATTTTTTATAATAAGTTAAGAGTCATTTTTATAACTTATGTAAAAATTGTAGAGAGAAACGATAAAGATAAAGTAGGTAGTACTCTTCTACAATTCTAGTGGAATACAGACTATTTCAGGGCTTGGAAATCCTACCCTACACTAGATACTATTTCTCTCATAGGCTCCAATTCTGAGAAGGAAACAGATCCCAGTCTTTTATTCCATCAATTCCTGATTTATTCTTCCTATTGCGTACCACAGACCGGAAGGTCGATAAAACATTTCTGGCGAAGGGCAGTAGCAATTCCAGTACCAAATTGAGGCGCATAGGAAAGGTTATTGGACTGGCTTATCAGATTTCTTAGAATGCTGTGATGACAGCGCCATTTAGATCATTCACGTCCTCCTCTTTACGGATAGGATTTCCACCAGGAATATGCCATGATGGAATAAAGAACTATCTGTATTGATAAAAAGAATGCGAAATCTATTCAACAAAGCCAAACCAGGGATATGCTTTAGTGGAATAAACAACTGTCTTTATTAACGAAGCCAAAGTAACCAGTCAGTGGGAAGAATACAGAACCACACGGATGGAATACTATACAGCTTTAAGAAAAGCTAATAAAGATACAATAATAAACACTGCGAGAAAAATGAAGGCAGTCATCCTTGCTTCAAAAGATGCTCTTAAAATAATAAACACAACCAATTAGTCCTAAAAGGGCAAATATACCAATAGAGGAAGAACTCTTTAAAGTACACTTCCATCGATTTCAAATAGTTCAATCAGCAATTGTATGGGGATCTGCATGCAACTAGACTTTACAGAAGTTCTCTAACTGAACTATAACTGACAGACCGGTGTCATTAAATCGTTTCTTGAAATGCTGTCAATGGCAACGTCGTTTAGATCATTCACTACAATTTCCAAGTCCAGACACATGCCATCCTGCTACAAAATTGCTCAGGAAATTTGACGCTATTGTAATGTATATCACTTCCTTTCTACTTTTATTTATGAAAGTCGGTTTTTTGTCTGCATTTAACTTGTCGAGATTATTTGTCATAATAAATTGTATTAAGTCACCCCTTTTGTTGATATTAGTGCTTCCTCAGGTACTATGACATTGTTGTCGTAGCCGATGAGCAGCTATATCCTGTTTACCTGCAATGACTCACCAGTTCCTCTACTACATTTATCGAGGTCACTGCTGGATCGTCCCAAGGAAGATAGGCCGAGCCCAGAAAAATCTGTCTCGGTCCACTTTCCTTAAGCCATCGGATCCCTGGAACAAAAATTAATTAACGACAGTATCTCTATCCCATTTCTGACAATCACACAGGTCCGGGAGACATCATCTACTGTAGATCAGTTCTCTATTTAACCTTTAAACCTTTGACTTCCCTTTGGTTTACCCAATGCTCTTGTGTAAGAGCAATATCAAACGTCCTTTAAAACGCCGCAAGGATTGCCGAGGTTGCATTGCAGTATTGAAGGTTAAGGTTAGACCTATCTTTTTTGACTTGCAGATCTCTAAAGGTCATCCTAATAAGTCCATAGTAAGCTTTGTAGTTTTTCAGATTTCTGCAGGATTCTTCATATATTAGTAGAGAATCCGAAAAAAAGAACGTCACCGATATGTTTAATGGATAAAAATTATTTGATATGTAATTTAGTATGTTAAAAATTATAAAAAACAAAAAGCAAAAGTCAAAAGGACTCAAAAAACTTGAAAAGTATCATAAAGGAAATTAAAAAAAAAACGATGAATCCATTTGATGATACAACTGATTACCAGCACTTGTTTAATATTTTGACTGAAAGACTACATGTCAAGTAGTTGCCAATTTCCTGCTGAACGTCAAAGAAACTAGCAGTCAACAAAAGAGTTTCTTTTCAAGTTGCTCTTCAACTCCTAGAGGATTTGAGAAACCTATAAAACGTAACAAATATCATCAATTTTGATTTGAAAATATCACAAAAGTTTTCATGACTAAAGATAAAAATAAGAAGGTGTTAACGAAAATGGAACCAGATACATTTGAACGACTTCTGACAATTAGCATACAGAAAAAAATTAATAACATTGCTTGACTTTTTCACTCGCACCCGCCGAATGCACTTATTTCATGTACTGGTAAAATGTTGAAAACTCAGAATGCCAATAAAAATTTGTTCTACAAATGCTGGAGAAATCCAGTTAATATTTGACCGCTATTTGTCGCCTGTTCGTATACCTGTCTTCCAAGTCCCTTCTGCTATTTTCCTCTCCTGGTTTAGCTTCCTCCTCTGAACCTCCGAAAGTATTTTTATGTTGAGTTCGGTTTTGCTAATCCCCTCATATAATTGTACAGAGGTCTGGCTTCCCTCTGCTTCTTGTTTATCTTCAAGGTCAACTGGTTTCATATCAGTTGTGGTCCAAGAGTTCTGAGTTATTGGTCATTGGTTCTATCCTCCCAGGAGTTCTGTGTTGTTAAAGGATCTGAGTCAGTGGTCTCAGATTACTTCTTCGCTTGGTTTATGTTTTGTTGTTTCGTGTACATTTAATTACCATGAGTAGCTCCTGCACAGCCCTGCATAGAGGAGTAAAGCTGTATGCAATGGGGTTTCGCCTTGTTCCCCAAGAGTACCGTTCGTGATAATGTTACCTCCGGTATCTTTCATGCTCTCGCCATCTTCTTACTGCTTAGCAGTAGAGTGGAGTCGTTTTTTGGTAGAGTTCTCTGAAGCTTTCTCTCCGGTGAGGACATACGGCTCCCAGAGGGAGTACAAATTGTTAATAGACCATTGAAATGTAATGGAAATATAGATAACGAAACATATCATTAGGTAAAATATGAATTTTAGTTGTTTTACAATTTATCGTATTTGTTCCACAGACAGTAAAAAAAAATTATTTTCCTAGTGTAATACCTAATTGTTCCAATTGTTGGTTTTTTTATTGTGATTAAAAAATGTTATATTCCTATAAAAACCTAAAATTAACGAAAAGCTCTACAAGATTGAACATTCTCCAGCATTAAAATTAACTTAATATTTTAGCTAAATAACAATTATAAATAAAATGTGGAATATACATACAGCGAAAAAATTATCAAAAAATTTAAAATACTGGGACAGCTAGCCGAATACTAGAAGGCAGAAATTACAGAAGAATGGCTCGGACAAACTTCACACTTATTTATAACCAACAAATAAAGTCAATCTGGTCATTGTCATTGGTCAAAACAAATAACAAATCAAAACTTCATCAAATTTAAATTTGACATATATTTACTTTTAATGATCGTTTATTAAAGATTTTAAAATGAATATAAATCAGGAAAACTGTAGATTATGCCAAATATATATAGGAACTGTACCTCTAAATGAAGATCTAAGTCAAATAATTTTTGATGTAACTAGAATTAAGGTAATGTGTTAATTTTTTTCTATATACTTATACAGTCGTGCTTATTATGTATATACTACTTATTTTAGACATAAGTAACATTAAAATACAGTATGGTCTGCATTCTGAACTAAAATATACTTATTAAGTCCCACTCTACAGTATGCTTTTATTTATCAGAAATCTTTTTCTTTTCAGGTAAATGACCAATACCATAAATTACTACCAGTTAATATATGTGCAAAGTGCAATACTACTATTCTGGAAACTAATACATATCTAAAAGAGATTCAAAGAGTTAATTCAGTACTTTTGGACTACTTAGAAAATACCAAAATAAATGTAAATAATTCATTACCCTTCAATGAGAATAGTGAAGTAAATAATTGTGATATACCTTTTAACAATAATGGTGATTCTCCAAATGGAAATGTGTTACATGGCATAGAAACAGTAGAATCTCATGTATGCCCAATTTGTTCCCAGAAGTTTTCAAGAAAAACTAATTACATAAAACATAAAAGAAAACATCCCCAATTGTATTGTACTAATTGCCACACATTTTTTGAAGAACAAGTAAAGTCAGAAAATCATATTTGTAAGTTACACATAAAGAGAAAAAAGGTTGGTGTGAAAATTAAAGGTAATACTTCTTTATTTAATCAATTTAATATTTACATACTCTATCTTTAATAATACTAACCATATTTCTCCAAATTCAATTAAAACTTCTCTTCTTGTTCCAGATAATTTTCTCTACTACTTTTGTGTGGAATAAATTCACCATACATGCATCATTAGAATTGTTTTCAAATGTTCCTTTCCTTTCGCTGCTTACTTCAATGGCCAGAACAACTTACTTTTATCAGAACAATTTCCAGCACATAAATCTTACTTTTTGAGAATGATTTGGAAATCTAAATGTCAAAATAAGCATATTTTCAATTTTATATTAAAATAGTGGTTGTTTCTCATTAAAAAAATTAGATTAAATAAATAAAAATGCCACAAGAAACTAGTTTCAGAGCCTTGTCATTGTTAAGGCCTGAAAATATTTTTGAACATTCAAATGTTCAAATTTGAACATTAGATGTTCAATCAAACTTTGATGCTTAAATGTTTTTTCTACCAGTATTATGTCTAGCAAGATTTGGCCAATACACAACATCACCAAAACACAGCATTATCCCACACCCACTTAAATTTTTCTGTGCAGGTCAAGATCCCTACTGTAAGGACTGCCTGTCAGCCAATGTATTGTTGCTCATGATAAATTATTCTCATTCAAATACTTACTGGTAAATTTGCTGATATGTACTGTGTACTGATACCCTGTTTCTGCTACATGGCCTGATGATGGGATAAATATTGCAAATATTGTATTGTATATATTGTACCTGTCTAGGCAAACTTCCGCCTGCCATGTTTTATTGCCAAGATTTACTAAAGTAATTACTGCTATTAAAAAAGACTATTTAAAACCTGTGCAGTGAAATCTCTTCATATTTGTGAACTATAGATTGTCGAGGTTACCCCATAATAAATATAGTTTAGATGATCTGAAGGTGTTTGATATTATGTATTTCCCTACACAGTGTGTCGATTTTGGTCTTTATAAGGTATTTAATCAGGTAATGTTTCACAGGCTAGTCTGCTAGTCAGGGAATTTCTACATAGTTATACATTTAGGATAGCAATATAGATTCTTGTCAGATATAGATATTTAAAATTGTATTAGTATTTGTAATACTGTTCATTTATATTATTAAATTTATTCTTACAGTTGAATCAAAATCTGAAGATATTAAAGATACTGAACATACGAGTGACTACCAATATCAATGTAATACATGTTTAAAACAATGTGAAAATAGGAAATCATATAAAACTCATATTCACACACATGAGAAATTTACGTGTGATGAGGAAAATTGTTCAAAAGTTTATGCTTCCTTATATTCACTTAAAACACATAAACTAATCCATGAAGGGAAAAGACCATTTCTTTGTGTTGTGTGTGGTAAGTGATTTTTTTTATAAATTATTAGTAATTAAAATTTATCTTGGTCATTTTCTTTTTTGTTACCTAGGTATATGTGAATTATTTGTTTTGATTGTTTGCACATCCATAAATGAGCATGGGGATTCACATAAATATGTTGGTCCAAAGAAGAAAGGTGAAACAATTGTCAAAATCTTTCCATATTTACCTATATTATTATCAGTTTCCAAAAATTTCAATCTGAAACCAGTGACTTAAGATTTATGTCATATTTAATGTTTATTTCTTCAGCCAAGCCTGTTAAATTTGTAGTATGTACCTAGAAATTTCAATAAGTAAAAAAATCAAAAAAAAAGACTGACTCACAATTGATTTTATTGCAACTTATTCGACCGGTTTCAGACTCTACAATGTCTACAATATCTGACTCCATCTTCAGGTCCCTGATAAAAAGTTAAGTACTTATCCTTTAAAAAAAATGTGAGAGTTGTTATAGGTTTTCGAATATAAATTATGCCAATACTAGCATAGTAGTGCTCTTCTCATAATATGATCCCAATATATATTAAATAATAGTGGAGACAGTATATATCCTTGTCTGACACCTTGTTCTGGATGAAATTCGTTTGAGAGTGGTAGCACTTTAATCGTTCCAGTGGTATGTCATATAGTTCAGTTATAAGCAAAATTAAGTGTTCCGATATGCCTACTTCTTTTAGTAGCTACCATAAGTGTTGCCATTTGACTCTGTCGAATATCTTGTGTTAATCTATAAAACAAATGTAAAGTGGAATATTGAATTCTCTAGATTTTTGTATTATTTGTCTTATGTTCAGAAAGTGTTCTTGAGAACCTCTACCTTTGGTAAATCCAGTTTGCTCTTGGGGTATTTCTCTTTATAGAAAAGTTTTTAATCTCTCATTGATTATATGAAGCCGTTATTTGCAAGTCTCTAATTGGCAAAAAAATCAAAATTCACTTTTTTCATTAAGGTAAACAAGCTTTTAATAAGAAACGATTTACTATTCTTAAAATCTTTCATAACTGCCTTTTAACCATATAAAAGTAGGTACAAAGTTGGGCAAAACTCCTTCTTTGTATTCACAATTTATTTGCAAAACAGCTTGTTTGTCGTCAACCAATAAGCATGCTATACATGAAACTGAATGCTTTGTTACATTACATTACATACAGTGAATGAAATGTTTTTTAGTTCCAGTAACAGTTTCGTTGAGTATTGATGTGCAATATAATTTCTTTTTGGTGTTTTTGGTTTACTGACACAGATGAGTTAAAAAATAGTGATTTTAAGATTTTACCTTCTCTAAGAGGAAAATTACATAAAAAAGAGCGACAACCAGAAAACTATGCTAGGAATATTAAAACACAGACAGGTATTACACAGGTTACAATGGGTTTAACACCAACTAAATAGGTGAAATTATATTATTTGTACCTAGGCATACACCACACATGCTTCCAAACTTTCCAACTTGTGGTAACGACGGTAAACCCGGACAACCGTATTTGTGCAAAACTTTAACAATTGGCGAATGGATTTAGTGTCCGCAGTCACTTAATCACAAACAAACAACTTTAACAATGAAAGACATTAAACAATTCCATGGTTACATGTATGAATCTAAATCCTGTTGCACAGGAAATAAATCAAAGGGAGGAAAATAAAATCATGCTCAAGTTTCGATCCAATACAATGTTCGTTTGAACGATGGAAAACTGATACGAATGTGCAAAAGTGCATTTCTAGGCATCACGAATTTTAGTGCAAACTGAGTGCAAAGAATACTTCGTAGTTTTATAACAAATGGAGAGTTTCCAAAAGAACAAAGAGGTGGTGGGAACCTTTAACTAACGCATGTTAATCTTTAACATGCGTAGAATCTCACTATTCTAGGAGCAAGACTAGTGTGCTTGTCTTTTTACCATGCGAGTTGAATTTTAAAAAGCTTTATATTCACTATCAACAGCGAGCTCCTGACGATTTGCACATTAGAATTAGATATTTTAGAAAATTCTTGAAGTCATATTACACTGTTGAGTTTGGAGCTCCACCTACAGATTGTTGTTCAACGTGTCTACGGTTTAAAGAACAGCTGAAATGGACAACGTCAGCTGAAAAAAGATATAAATTGACTACAGAGTATCGCGTTCATTTATTGAAGGCAAAAGCGTTCTTCCGTCTCTTGAATCATCCAAAACCAAACACAGTGTCATTTTCCTTTGACTGTCAGAAAAAGTTGGCCCTGCCTCGATTACCAGATCAAGCCGCATATATCATTCAGCAAATAAGTTACAACAACTTTACTATAGTGTCTGGAACGTCTAAAATTAAGTTCATATCTGCAAACGTAAACGCGTATTTCTTCTTCTTAACGTGCCCTATCAAGTCTCCTTGACGTTGGCGATTAACATGGTGAAACTGTCTCTGTCTCGAGCTATTCTAAATAGTTGCTCAGCTTTCTTTATTCCTGTCTACTCCCTGATATTCTTCAACCAAGAAGCCTGCTTTCTACCAATTCCTCTGCGTCCTTCGATTTTACCCATCATAATAAGTTGAAGAATATTATATCGGTCTCCCCTTACTACTTGTCTAAAATAGGCCATCTTTCTACATTTGATGTTATCAAGCAGCTCGCGAGCAGCATTTGCACTCTCAAGGACTGCCACACTTGTCAGCATAGCCGTCCATGGAATTTTTAGTATACGTCTGTGCAGCCACATTTCAAAGGCCTCCAGACGATTAATGGTGGATATTTTTAATGTCCATGCTTCGACACCGTATGACTGACAAAATGTAGCATTTAACCATGCGCTTTCGAAGATGAAGTTGCAAGTTATCATTACAGAAGAATGACCTCATTTTTAAAAATGTCGTGCGGGCTATCTCGATTCTACATTTTATCTCTTGATCTGGATCTAGTTGTTCAGTAATATGGCAAGCAAGATATTTAAAACTGGACACTCTTTGAATTATATGACCATCAACATATAATCGTGCATCTTGATGTGTTAAACGGCTAAACACCATGTGTTTTGTTTTTGCACAGTTTATGTTTAGGCCAAACTCTCTTCCCATTGTATCAATGGCATTTAAAAGGCATTGTAATCCATTCATGTCATCACTTAAAATCACTGTATCGTTTGCATATCTGATTGTTTTTATCAGAATTCCATTAACTTTCACGCTCCATTCCAAATTATGCAGCGCTTCTTTAAATATTCTATCTAAATATAAATTAAATAACAGTGGGGATAGTATACAACCCTGTCTGACACCTCTTTGTATTTTACATATTTCTGTTGATTTTCCGTTTATGCAAGCTGTCGCTGTTTGACGCCAGTATAACTTTTCTATTTTACTCGATCAAAGGCCTTTTCATAGTCAATAAATACAGCAAAGACGTCTTTCCTTTGATCTCGACATTTCTACAGTAATACATTTAGTGCAAAGAGGGCGTCCCGAGTTCCCAGTCCATTTCTGAAGCCAAATTGTGTTTCATCCTGATCTTCTTCACATTTATCTCTCATTCTACTGTGGATGATGCGTAGAAATATTTTCAAAGTGTGGCTCATAAGACTTATCATTCTATAATCGCTACAGTTTTTCTAACGTTGTTTTTTGGTAGTGTTATGAATTCGGACTTTAACCAATCTTCAGGGATATCACCAGTCGAATAAACATCATTGAAAAGTTTGACCAGTATTCCAATTTTCTCCTCATTTATAAGCTTTAACATCTCTGTCAGTATGTTATCAGGGCCAACGGCTTTCTTGTCCTTTGCTAACTTTGTAGCATGCAGCATTTCTGATTTTAGTATTTCTGGTCCTTCACCTTCAACTAAAGTCTCCGGTTCTTCTGGTCTATCATCATTATACAGTTCACTTATATAATTACACCAGGTTGTTCGAATTTCATGTTCGTCTATTATCATTTTTCCCGACGAATCGGTTATAGTATGTGGAGTTTTCTTATGATAAAGACCAGCTACTTCTCTAACTTTTTTAAACATATTAAACGTATCATGTTTTTTATTCAACTTTTCTAATTCCTTGCAATTATCCTCCATCCATTTTTCTTTAGCCACCTTTATTTTTTGTTTAATTAGTTTCTGTTTTTCCTTATATTCTGTCTTGTTACCTTTCAGTTTCCTTCTCTGATCGATTAATTCTAGGATTTCATCAGTCATCCATTGTTGTTTTTTGTGCCTGTGTAACGTTGTTGAATATTTTTCTATTACTTTCAAGGTAAGATCTTTAAATGTGTTCCATATTTCTGTGTTGTTTTCATTTATTGATTTCTTTAGCTCATTGTTTAAGTCATTTTCTATTAACGTTTTGTTGGATATTGAGATATTTAATTTTGGTGTTTTGGGGCTTTCTTGGACTTTTTTGAGCTTCACTTTGATGTCAGTTATTACAGGGTTATGGTCTGAACCGATATCTGCACCAGGATATGTCGTTACTCTGGTGACGCCATTCTTAAATCTCTTGTTTACCAGAATATAGTCTGTCTAATTTCTAGTCATATGTAGTGAATTATCTCCTGGTCCCCTCTATGTGTATAACCTTCTTTTGTGTAATTTGAACCATGTATTTGCGATTATCATGTCATGTTCTTGGCAGAACTGGTATAATCTATCGCCTCTTTCATTGCTCTCCCCTAATCCATATTCACCTACCAGGTCAGATCTTTGGCCTTGGCCAATTTTTGCGTTAAAATCTCCAATAATATATGTGACTTCGTTACTTTTTAGATTTTTAAGTGTCTGTTTTAATTGGCTATAGAATGATTCGACATCATTGTCATATTTCTTTTCTGCAGTAGGGGCATATATCTGGATAACATTGACATTAAATGGTTTGCTATTCAATTGGAGTAGTGCTAGTCTGTCGTTCACTGATATAAAATTTTTCACATATTTCTTAAATTTAGACGTTATAAATAAGCCAACTCCCCTAATAGCACACGTACGTCCAGTGGACGTCCATAGTATGTC